ATTTATTTATTTTATTTGACATCAAGGTGTATGCCGTGCCTCCAAGCTTTCTTACTCGTTTTGCTACTAAACGTTCTACGTTTCTTATTTATTTGGTTATATATTATACATGTTTACTTGTTTCCAGTTTTGTACATTTAAACTTTATGTAAGTTATTTGTTATTTTATATTAGGCATAGCTTGCCCTATAGCATGGTGTATTTTTATTTGTTTTGTTAATAAAAGTTCTATGTTTTATATATAGGCTAAAGTGAGTTTGACGTTGTATTTTGTTGTTGCATTCAAGCAATTGACGCCGAACTGCCGCTAATTCAAGGAAAAGAGGGAAAATTCAAACGAACTAAAAACGAACAATTGCTTTACTCTGAATTGCCGCTATTTGAAAGTGAAAGTAAAATGTGCACGCGCACTTAAAAGCGAAGGAAAGCGAGGAAAAGAGGGAACACCCCCGCCCCCGTGGTGATACCGGTATTACCGGTGTTGTCACACTTCGATTAACCGGTGGGAAAATTTCCTCACCGTCACAACCCTAATATATATATATATATATATATAAATACGACTATTTTATTTTTTCCCCCCAGAAATGCTGTGTATGTTGTGTATTTACATTTTTCTGCTAAATAAATTATTTTAAATAATTGTTTGGTAAATACTCTTTTAAAAATAATGCTATTATTAAAAATGATTTAATAATAATTGTATTAGTAGTAGTAGTACTACCATTACATTAAGTAAAATTTCTGTTATGGTTTCTTCAAGTTAAACTGAACTTTTATTTTGAAGGGTCGATGTGAAGACCTTTAGGTTTCTGTTTGTATGTGATATGACAATAGTTTTCTCAAAAGAAACGATAAAATGCTAATGAAGTGACATGATGAAGTTGTTTATGTGTTTATGTACTCATATATTGAGGTGACAGAGGCTAAAAATTGCGCGAGCGTCACGCACGCTTCAGTATCCATGTAGTAAACGAAATCGTGTGTCTGCGCAATTCATTCACACAGAGACACACAGAACATGCAGGATTCATATTTAACTAGTATTTTAGCAGCTAGTCCATACAGTGCTTTGATTTAAGTGAACTGGCCTACTTTTGATGTATCTAGGGCTGCCACTAACGACTATTTTTATTTCGATTAATCTATCGACTAATTTATCGATTCATCTAAACGATTAATTTTCCACAAAAAACTCAACAATTTTACTTAAGAATATTTTATTAAACTATATTTTATTAAACCAAATGAAATTCAAATTTCTATGAAATCCTTTTTTTAAAGCAAAAGTAAAGTGCATCTAGTATTTACCAGAAATGTTATTTACCAGAATTTATTTAGGAGAAAAATTTAAATGTATTTAGTTTTTTATTTTTATAAAATCAATTAATTGGAGATGCTTTTGATTATTAACATTTAATGGAACCATTAAAATGGAATCCAAAAAAATTATGGAAAACAGAATTTGGTAAAGATAAAACTGTAAAACTCAATTAATTAGACAGGCTTTTTGATTAATAAAATTCAATTTAACCATTAAAACAGAATATAGAGAAATGAAAATGGAAAAAAAATTATAATTTGGAAATAAAACGGATTTCATAGGGCCCTATAATTATAATTATTTTTTTGTGGTAATAAAAATAGATGTAAGTGAACAATAGCCTTTAAAATTAATTAAAATACATATATAATAACAATGAGGCAATAATAATAAGTTCAAATAAAGTATCAAAAGCAAGAAATCATATGGTTTTATTGAACAAAACTGTTAAAATACATAATCAACAAGGTTAAATACATTAACATTATTTAATGCATTAGATATCATGAACTAATATTGAAAAATAAACACTGTTCATGGTAATTTTTTTTATTTATGATTAACAAATAAAAATTGAATTTTTTTCAAATTGATTCACAAATCATTTTATGAATCGGTTCATTGCTGATCTGAACAGTCTGATTCACTGCAAATGAACTGGAATTCCCAGCAGCACCTGACAAAGGCATTTATTATTGCCTTGTCTTGCAAATCTATAAGGCTTTTAATGCTATACGCAAAAAATGTGAACTACAAACGTTCTGTTTAGCCCGTTTGTCACAGCTATATATATATATGTTTTTTTTAAAGCAGCTGTTTTCAGGAAAATGTTAAGCAAATGTGAAAAAAGTGAATGTCAAATAAAAAGTGTAAAAATGAAATGAAAACTAGAATAAATTAACGTCAGCACTTCCCACTCTGCAGTTAAAGATTGATGTCTCGATGCAGAGCGGTTTTGGCATCCTTACCTGACTCCTGTCCTTGTCCACTTTCTTAAAACACTTATTGAGGGACAGATTGTGCCTGACCGAGTTCTTCCACCCCGTGGGGGCGTTGGCAAAGTAAGGGAAGTGTTCCAGGATCCAGTTGTATATGTCTTTAACTGGCAGTCTCTTGGAGGGGGCATCTTCTATGGCCATGAAGATGAGGCAGCTGAAGGAATAAGGAGGTTTGCAGTTCGGGTTCTGCTTGGCGTCATAAGGGAGGTCCGAGTGGGCTGGGGAGGGTGGGGTGTCATCGTCCAAGTCCTGGACGGGGCTGACGCTCCTCAGCACAGGGTCACCGAAGCTGTTGAGCAGGTTCTTGCTCTCGTGGAGCCAGTTGAGGTTGGTGAGTTCCTCGTCCTCCATGCTGCCCTTCTCCAATTTGATGGTGGGAAGAGCCAGGTCCATCTCCTCGGCCTCCTGCAGGGCGCGCGTGATGGAGCTCGCCTGATAGAACTGGCTCAGGCCGCTCGCGACGCTGACCCCGGAGCTTTCCGGCTTCTTACTGGGAGGCATAACCGGACCCATTTAGACCAAGGCTCCTACAGAAGACACCAAAGAGAACACGATCACAATCACAGAAGGTCAAAGGTGAAATTAAAACACATTAAGAGCGCCGTTTGGGACAGTGCGAGAGACTATGAAGCAGGCTTCACACATGAAATATTTCTCAATCCAAATCCACTATTGTACAAGTTAACAAACTGACAGTCTTGGAGGATGACTAAGATCACTTGATGTTCAGATCACTGCAGGAAGCCCTTTTTTTCTATCCAAGGGACAAAACTGACGTCTTGGAGGATGACTAAGATCACCTTGATGTTCAGATCACTGCAGGAAGCCCTTTTTTTCTATCCAAGGGACAAAACATTCTCTGAGAGCACAAAAGAACGAGACTATGAGAACCATCCTACTCTGTCAACAGCAAGAATGCACGGCACGCAAGTCTGCTCTCGGAGATGATGGAACAGCTATCGAGCAACCGAAGACGCCTTGCTGTAGTGTGAAATATTTCAAGTAAATGGAATATAACGCTCAAGGTCATCTACAAATGATCTGCTCTGTTTTATGTTCTCTCAATTGCTCTTTTTATAGTTGCCATACACAGATAAAAATACAGATATCAATACATATATAATGTGACAAATAGATGTAACGGTATGAAAAATTCTTATCACGATTATAGTGACCAAAATTATCACGGTTATCGGTATTAACATGGTATTGTTAAAATGTGCTGGAAATGTTCAAAAAGTACTGACACATAAATCATTTTACCAAGTTTTATATTTAAAATCAACAAACAACAAATAAAATGGCTTTTTGTTTGCATAAACACTAAAACAATAACATTACCAATGATGTCCAGATTTTAAATGACAACATGACTGATAACAGTTTATCTAATAACCTGTACAAAATGTTCAAATAAAGCTTTGAAAAAGTTTAATAAAATGGCAAACCTCACATTTCAGCCTTTAAATAAAGAAAAGGGTTCAGTCAAAATGATAATTGATTAATAAATGATTATATTTATATCTGCTCCATAAATACTTCTAGATACACAGACGCCTGTAGAATCCACATAAGCTTGTTTTTCATTAACCAGTCAAAATTTACAGCAGGGCATGCAAATTTGGTCTGTTTTTTGGCCAAACAAAAACTGCACACAGGCTGAATGTAAATGTAACTCTCTGTAAATCGACTCTCTGACACTAGGTGGTGCTTATGGAACAGCAGAATTACAGCTGTTTCCCGTAACCTCCCTAGACAAAGCAGCATTGTGATTAAGAACACTACTTTATTAGGTATTACATGGAGCGAAGATGAAAACAAAATGCCATCAAATCTTTTCTGAAGACAGTCAGAACCTTCAGAGGTACATTCATATAATTAATGCATACATATATTCAGTTGTATAATAACCTCCCAGCTTCCCGCCATGTTTTAACCCAAAACAAAACTACTCTGCGTGCTGTGCGCACATGAAACTGTTACCTAAAACTTTGCTTTATGCTGGATTTAGTTTTTTTTTTTTTTACTTTGCTTTATGCAGAATTTATTAATCCTGAGTTTTTCAAATCGCGTTAATCGAATACGGTTTTAATGATACTTAAAATATGAAATGGTAATACTAATCGTGGGGAATTGTATCGTGATTTAGTCAAACCGGTAATGATCAAATAAGACAGTAAAGTCAATAATTCAATAAATCAGCATATTAGAATGATTTCTGAAGTATCATGTGACACTAAAGACTGAAGTAATGGCTGCTGAGAATTCAACTTTGCCATCACAGGAATTAATTATTTTATGTTTTAAAATATATTAGAAAACATTACATTTGAATTGTAATAATATTTTACAATATTACAAAGAATAAAATATGATTAAATATTTATGCATTACTTAATATTCATGAGCTAAGTCTTGTCACCACAACCAGCACAAATGACAGCCATAGTATTACTAATCTAAAAATGACTGACTATCTATTTCAATACACTAACCCATAAAGAACTGGGTGTGACAGAGGGGAAGGATATTATAGGGGCATGTCAATCACTGAATCAAATACTCCGAACATGACACCAGAAAAACAGTCTGCAACCTTCTCTGTGATCTGTCGCAAAGATCAATTTATGTGGCGCTGTCTCTCCTGCCTCGCTCAACACACCCGGTCCATCTGCAAAAGCAATTACTAGAAAGTCCCCATCAAACATGATACTGCCGAAATTATTCTACGAAAACATAAAGATCACACTCCACTTCAAAGAGCAGATTATGTTTTTCTAAAACAACGAGACCTCTGCTTTACACTGATTGTCATTCAGAAAAGAGAAATACTTAAAGATTATACTTCAGCGCTGCAGAGAGAGCAGCATTTTGAAGTGGAACGAAATCGCCTCTTGTTCAACCCAGCCATCAGCACATTGAAATGCAATGCGGACACTAAAATCATGCATGAAAAATCAATGTACTGCATCTTTCCAATGAGGAGCGTTCATCTCACTCAGCCTCTGATGGGGCGCTCCGGTCCCGTGAGCCGCTGCACAGGAAAATTATATTACAGCTGACAGTAAAGTAATTTAATTGCACTGTTGCCATGACAACACAGGGCTCTGTTTAGGCCTAATTTGCTGGCAACTGCCAATTGTGTCCCGAGAGACCCGAAACATCATTCTTGACCATTATTTTCGACTTCAAAGAAAGTTTTTGCAAAATACTTCTGAGTATCACACGATAAGGAAGAGCAGTGATGTGAATTCTCTTTTCCTGGTTTATTTACAAACTTATTCTAACACCATCTGCACCAAAATGGGCCCAAAATAAAAGAAAAACATGCATACTGGTTCCCACATGAGTTATTGTTGTGAATGATACATTATACTTGATGACCAGGTTCAGGTTTGTTTCTGCAGGATTGTGTTTCTCTGGCAAATAGCTGTAAATGTGTTCCAGCCGTGCGTCCAGATGACAGCAGAAAGCCAGATCACAGAGGGTGGGTTAAAGCTACAGATAATTAGGCATGATGCTCTGATCAGAGCCCAAATACCATCTGCCTGTCTAAATCAACATTTGTTTGGCAGCCTCATCATAAATCAGCGATTAAACACATGCATACATGCAGTTTGCGTTTAATATAGTCATATACAGTACATCTGCATATGCAAGCGACCGGCCATTGGGCTTGAATAAATTAACGTCCGCCCGTGTCTGCCATGTGTTAAAATGCATAACGATATTCTATAATTGGCTATGTTCATTTACATGCCAGTATGAGTGACATAACAAAGACAGCACGATGACAAAGAACAGCACTTTGTTCCCTCATCACCCATCTTAACATCTGACTATTAACCACATACACGAGTGCCAAGAGAGATCCTCTATTCAACACGCAGACGCGGACCGTCCTGATATTACAAGCCAGGCGACTGCCAAACTGTCATTGTTTTGCTCGCTTGATTGGGAGAGCTGCGTTAAAACAAGCATGAAACTCATTTAAAGTGGGTGAAGAACAAGTAATGAGTCTATTCATGCTGGTAATAAATCGCCCACTGAGTCACTCAGCCACAAAAACAAGAAAAAGTCAACTTTATGTGCAACTTGACTTCTAATATGTCACATTCTCAACAAATTAGACTAAACTAGATTTTTTACAATGTCAGAAGAAAATGCGACTGGTGCAAAATTCATTAGTGGTTGCCAGGATGATGCTACGGTCAAGTTAAAATCTCCTCAATCTTCTTCTCTTTTCATGCAAACCTGGTGATGAACTAGATGTCAATGGGGTTTAAACGAGAGCAGCTTCCTAGAAGAGTTTGTTTTGTTGCTTGAGGGTGAAAGTATACAAAAATAGAACCACACTGTAATAAATAATCAGATTTAAGAATACTTTGACAAGTACTTCAGCTTTACATCAAAACAATTGCCATCCATCCCACAAGACTCCTATTTCCTTACATCACACTTAATATCAACCTGACATATAAATGGGCCTTTGAGAAAGTAAAAATAAACTCTGTACCTGCTCTGAGATTTCATTCATACGCTTGGCGTAGGCTTCTCTCAGCTCTCGTGACAAACACTTTCCTTCCCTCTAGACAGAAACACATTTATATGTAATCTCACACCACGGTACCCATATTTCCGAGGCACTCCAAAGTACGTAACAGCTCTCTTTTGAGGGCATAAACACTCCACAGCCTACGTCAAAATCCCGGCAAGCCTTGACTCATCTGCTCGGAGTGTTTACCTGTAAGAATTCTCTCAAAGGGTGTGACCTGCAGAGGCTCCTCCTCTTGTGGAATCACATGTCATGCCCTACTAACCTAACTGGCGAAGCCCCTCCCCCGGCGCGTCTGATTGGACGCAGGCCTGTGAGCTCCTATGAGCTGCAGAGACACGTTTCCGCGAAAACAGAGACAAGAATTGTCATTTACATGAGAAAAACAAACTTAGCTGGAGGACTCCTGGCATTTTCTTGAAGCAGGAAATCCACACTATGAAAAATCCAGTCTTGATCTCAGCTCGAACAAAAAAGTCATGTGCTGTCAATACTTGAGAAACGAAGGAGAGGTGAAAGGTCACGTTCTCTCTGCCGCAGAGGCAGTAAATAGCTGCACTCAGGCTGTTTTTAAAGCGGCTCTCTTATCACTTCACAACAGAGAAGTGGCAGGTAGAGATTTCATACGGCTCAAAGCGAAAACCATGTCCAACTCAAAGCCTCGACTAAGCAGACACAAAACAACCACTCTGCGTTCAAATAGCCCCAATTACACAAGAAATAATCAAAGGGCTTTAATCTTGGCATGAAAAAACATTACAAAAGTTGCAGCGAGTCTTTTTATCCCATTTGAAACTACAGCTTTTAATTACAGCTGGTCTGCGCAGCTCTCTGCTCACAGTATTGTTATGCCCAGAGCCAAGTATTGAGCAAGAGTTTCCACAGCTTAACACGGTTATCATGGGTTAGTACTTGCAGAAATGATTTATAACCACTCTTTTGATTAATCTACCCAAGTGTATTTATTCAAAG